AATTTTTGACCGAATTGACAAGTGGCACCCTCCTATTGGATGGGCGCCTATCCACTCCAATAAGAGCGCGACACTTGTCAATTCGGTCATCCATTTGGTAAATAATTTGGTACATATAGCATCTCCCATTTATACTAGATTTCACCAAAAATATATAGAAGATGAAAGATTACACACAAAACCAGAGGTTTTCCTTAGAGAAAAAATACAAAGAAGAAATGAGAAGAAAACCGTAGAACTCTCATCCTCTCTCAAAAAATGAAGGGTCAAACGAATTTAAACAATCACAATGGATTACTGTTAAGACTTGGGGTCCATCTTAATAAGGTCAACCTTATTAAGAGGAGTGTCCCAATTCTTTATATATTGGTCATTATTTCGGTATTTTACCGATGTGGGATTATATTTCCTTAATATGCCCCCGCAAGATGGTGGCTCGTTTGAGCAGACCAATCTTGAAATCCGTGTGCTCATTTTTAGAGACTTAATCGGATCGAACCGCTCGTTGAAGTTTAATGGGCTCTGATACCATGTTAAGACTTGGGGTCCATCTTAATAAGGTCAACCTTGTTAAGAGGAGTGTCCCAATTCCTTATATATTGGTCATTATTTTGGTATTTTACCGATGTGGGATTATATTCCCTTAATAATTACACGGTTACACCAGCACCACGTGTCATCATCTTAGCCTTTCACTTAAAACATTAAAATCATATGTCAGCAAAACATGAGGATGCGCAAGCTGATAAGTAACCGGGTCACATTCCTTCATGTGGGCTCAAGTATTGGGCTGTATCACTGGGCCAAAGATGTTAAACATAGTACTTAACACTTACAAAATTATTTCTTATCGATCTAAAATTCACATTAATTAGTCAAAACTAATGAAACGATAGACGTGGTAAACGGTGGGGTGCATATGTGTGCAGCACTTAAAAAAAATTATTCTTTACAGTTAAATACAAATATGTAGAAGGTTGCTTGGATTTTCCCAATCTAAGTACATAAGATGCTAAAAATGTTTATCATGAATTTTTCCCTTAAATTTTGGATTTCTCTCTCTAAAAACATGTTATAGAACACAAATTGATTGATATCGCATAGATAAGATACTTTATGCATCTATGTCAATGATCTGTTGTTTCTTAAGCTCTAAATGTTACGAGCAAGTTCTTGGGAAACCTATCAGAGGAAAATTGAATTGCAAGTACTTGCGAATTACTAAAGAATCAATTATTATGAAGGTTGTGATCTTGAAAAACTCGGTTATGAAATTTTATTTAAAAAAAAAAAAAGAAATCTCAGAAATGATTATATTTTTGTAATGAGGACCCGTTTGGTAACCATTTTTTCCAACATGGATTTTTCTCTCTCTTCTTTTCAATCACACATTCTTTATTAAAATAATATTACACGTAAATAAAAAAAAATTCTTATTTTTTAACTACACATTTTCCATCAATTTACTATTCTAAAATTCATTTTTACATAAAAATAGGTCTCAAACACTGAGACAAAACATGAGTGAACTTTTTTGACTGATTGAAAGGTAACAGAGTAAACCCAAATTGACAATCTGCATGAATTTTTTTTCTTGGGGAATTACAATTGTTCATTCACGTTAACTGTATCTTGCTGTTTCCTGCTTTCAAACACCATCATTCTTCTGAATCTACATTAGGTTGTGTCTTTTGGCCATTTGATACTCAATGTTGTTCATAATTTTTGTTCTTTCAGAGAATGTGTTTTCATGCATATGTGTATATGAGCATAAAAGCGAATATTGCAGCTACCCTCCCCAACCTTTGAAACTTTTGTACTTCTGCACTTGTTCTTATAATTTTGGCAGCTCTATTCCCATCCTTAGTTGTGCTGCGGCTCCTATTAAAGAATTCCATCTAAAATGGCCTTTAATGTCGGTTAAAAATACATATTTACTCATTTATATATTTTTGTTTTGGATGGTTATAGGTCAGTAACCTTTATTTATTTTCAAGCTTATATCCTTAACTTTTGGTCTTCATCACATTCTTTTTTTTAAAATTTTATTGATCAGAAAGTATTGTCCTTACTTATGATTTTCGTTCAAAAATATTGTTAATGTGCTTTAAAATGAGAGTCAAATACTTAATCACATATTTGCATTATTATTTATTTTACTTATTTAAAAGTACAATGGACAAATAAGTGTTTTTACTCTATCTTGAAGAAAATTTCGAAGAGAAACCATAATTAGGAACAATTTATGCTAATTTGAAAATAAGAATGCGATGAAAGAGTTTGAGACATAAATGTCATAATGTGTAAAGATCATGCACTTTTCATGCAATTAAAATATGGTTTAGTTATTAAAATTGTGGTTTGAATATTTCTAACGTTATAAAATAGAAAGAAAAAGGAGAAGCCAATAAACTTGTGTGTTTTATTAAGAACCAAAGTCTCATATTTATATGAAAGGATTTGAACTACAAGGCATACAACAATCACAATAACTAGGACCGTAAAGGTTTAAAAGTCATTCATAAATACTACCATATTTACAACATTTAGCTAATAGGTAATTGGTACAAAACGTCCCTACATTTCATGTTTATTGTGAAAAACGTCATTACCTTTCAATTTTTTGGCATTTTATCCCTATTTCCACATTTCTTGGCGTTGAACGTCATTTTCACCAATTTTGAACAATTTTACCCTCCATTCAAATAAAACAAAAATAAAAGGCAGGAAACAACAAATAACTAATTATAACCATAGCCCCCAATTTTTAAAAAAATTAAAAATGGCATCCAGTAAACTGTTGCTTCTTCTTCAAGTGTGTGAAGAACACCATTTGACTACAAAATTTGGCAAACGAGTGCTGTAATTTCTAAAATTGAACGATTTCCAAGTGTTTTTTGGGCTTGAATTTCAGTTTCCCTAGGTTGATTTATATGTTGGGACACATTAAACTACGAATTGATATCCTTTTCACACGGCCAAACATTCCGTGAGGTCAAATCCAAAATTGTTGCATTTGGCTGATGAATTGAAGCAATTAAATCCATATCCAGCGTCGTTTGACCTTCAATTGCATGTTGATTGATGCAATTTGTAGATTGGAGTCACAGAGGGATGCCAATTGAAAGGGGATCAGACCAATTTCTATGCGTGTTTACTATTTATGGACGAATAGCCATTTCAACGCCAAATTGGGGAAGACCCATATGCTCAGTAGATGTGCCATGATTAGTAGTGTCCTGTGGTGGTGGTTGGCGATCATGGGTCCCACCATCGTTGTTGAAAAATGGCTTTGTCGATCGCAAGTTCGCTGAGTCAGAAATTGGCCACAAATCTCGATTTCTGGGTTGTTTAATGTAATTGGAACATGTATGGATGCGTCTTGGTAAGCTTGAGCAATCTGTGGGTTGTATGGAACATGGGCATCCATGGATTTAGTCGAATTTGCAATAATACTGTGCGTGAGAGGGGATTTTTGGGCAAAATTTAGTTCGATTTCGCTGGGATTTGGGGTTGAAATTTGCTTGGGAATATTAGGATTGATGAGGAGATGGTGGGTGGTGTTAAAATCCGGTGGCCTTTGTGTCGGAAATTGGGTTCCATGGTTGTTGGAATCTATGTTGAAAATTTTGTATATATTTGTGATTGATTTGTAATTTTTTAAAAAATTGGGGGCTGTGGTTGCAATTAGTTATTTGTTATTTCCTTTCCTTTCTTTTTTGTTTTTTTTGAATGGAGAGTAAAATTGTCCAAAAATGGTAAAAATGATGTTCAGCGCCAAGAAATATGGAAATAGGGGAAAATGTCAAAAAATGAAAGATAGGGAACGTTCCACAATATACGTGAAAGGTAGAGACGTTTTGTGTCAATTACCCTTTAACCTATTGTTTGTATCTTTTTATTTTGTTATAAAGACAGATTTACCCTCTTTCTTATATTTTTTTGTTCATGAAGAAAATTGTTCATAAAACAGATTTATCCTTATTCTTGTTTATTCCAATATAAGTGTCTAGATAATAGAGGCTTTGCCTGGTGATTACAATTCTACTGGAACTATGATCTTGGCTTAAGAAATGGGGAAAAAATGATGATATGTTAGCACTTAAGGGTAGGGATGTCAAATGGGTCGAGTCGGTTCGGCTCCCGGCTCGTTGGCTCGACTCTTCAAAGCTCGGCTCGTTGGCTGCTCGGTCTCGTCAACTGACGAGCCCAACCTCAAGCCTAGCGGGGGGTGGATTCCTGCTCGGCTCGTCCAAAAAAGTGGAAAAAATTAAAATTTTATCAATAAAAATTGAAAAATTTGCAAAAAAAAAAAAAAAATTCACGAGCTCGTGAGCCGCTTGTGAGCTCGGCTCGGCCCGGCCCACGAGCTCGTGGGTCATGAGTACACTAGCTTGTGGGCCGAGCCGAGCTCGCCCATAAGCAACGAGTCGAGCTCGGGCTCGGCTCGTGAAAAACGAGCCACGAGCTCAGCTCGCTATGAGCCCGAGCCGAGCCGGCTCGGCTCGACCCACTGCCACCCCTGGTTAAGGGTGCCGCTTATGCTTGCTTCATTGTTAATTTTCTTAACATAGTGACCATTAATATAGCATTTATAAACTTGAATGACTATCATCGTAAATAAAAAACAAAAAAACTTCAATGACAATTAGCGCAACCTTTAAGAACTTGAGTGATTGTCGTTGAAATTAATCATTAATATGTCATAACATCAGTTGGTGACAAGTCATATGTTTCACGTAAATTTTAACAGAGTCATCATTAGTGTAATGTTTAAAAATTTAAGTAACTATTATAACAAAAATACTTCAATGACAAGCGATAAATAATAATCTTTAAAAACTTGAGTGACGATTTCTGAAATTAGCCTAGCATGCTTATTATTATTTTTTATAATAAGGCCATTTTTTATCCTCTCTTATAGACTTGGTTCTTTCCAGAAAGAATTCAACGTTGACGGTTGACCCATCGTTTTATCCGCCCAAATCCCCGGCAGTTCAGCACCATCCAAAAATACAAAATTCATCCCCAAAAATTAATGAACATAAGTTTTACTCACCCAACACAGACATCCGTTTTTTCTATTCTTCACAAACACAAAAGAAATTGCAGCAATGGCGATGTCAGCCGCCGCAACAAGTCCCTCATTCACCCTCACAAAACTTCTTTCCTCCCCTAAAATCAAGCAACCCCTCTCTCTCGTCTCTCCGCACAAGAAACCCAATTTTATGTTCTCCTCTTCCGCCGCCTTTACCCCATTTCCCCTTAAATTCCACCGCACAAAACCCTTCAAATTCTCCACAACCTCAACACCAAAAATCTCCGCTACCATCTCTGTCGGAGACAAGCTTCCCGACTCCACCCTCTCTTATTTGGACCCTTCTGACGAGCTTAAAACAGTCTCAGTGTATGAGCTTACTTCCAACAAAAAAGCCATTCTCTTTGCGGTTCCTGGGGCGTTTACTCCCACCTGTTCCCAGAAACACCTCCCGAGTTTCGTGGAGAAGGCCGGAGAGTTAAAGGCCAAGGGGGTGGATACAATTGCGTGCATTTCTGTTAATGATGCTTTTGTGATGAAAGCTTGGAAGAAGGACCTGAATGTTGGTGATGAGGTATTGTTGCTGAGTGATGGGAATGGGGATTTCACCAAGGCTATTGGGTGTGAGCTTGATTTGAGTGATAAGCCTATAGGACTGGGAGTCAGATCCAGGAGGTATGCTATGTATGTGGAAGATGGTGTTGTGAAAATCTTGAACTTGGAGGAGGGAGGTGCCTTTAATGTTAGCAGTGCTGAAGACATGCTCAAGGCCCTTTGAGAGTAATGATTTTTCTTTCTATGTTTATTTGAACTTTTGAATTTGAGTTTATGTTGATTATGATGAGGATGAGGATGAGAATCGTTTATGTTGATTATGATGAGGATGAGAATCGTTTCTATCTTTATGAATAAATGCGATAGAATTATCTAAACATTCAGATGAAATCTATTGGCTATGATGCGTCCTCTTGTGGAAATTTGTTGTTTAAGCTGTTTGGGTTTTCGATTAAATATTGCATTTTTATTAGAAAAATTATGTTTATTGCACTGCTCTGTTGAAGTGTTCTAGCAGAAATAACTTTTAAGAACAATTATTTCTCTAGGACGTGCTAGTATTTGTTTTAGGTGTAGCTAAGATTGATTATTTTGGACTGTATATGAGTTTTGAATGTGGATATTGTATAGATTACTCTATTTTCGTTCTAAAAGTCGCTGTGTTTCATAAAACGAGTTATTATGATAATCTATCGGGGTGGAAAATGTGAAAGATATTCAGATATATACCTTAGGTGTACCCATATATGTAAATTCAGGTTAATTGTGCTTGTGCATAAAATTGCTTTTTCCGGCTTATTTTTTATTTTTTTAATTTGATTGGGTAAATAAATATGTATTGATAAAAATTTGAGTACAACTACTCCGGGTATATGCTTACAAAACAAACATCATCAACATCTAATGATCCAAAACAAAAGATTCAAAATGAATAAAAAACATGAAGTTTCATTACTCCTACAACTTCACCTGATCATGAAGTGCCATATCCCATTGCTAACTTTTTGAAGATATATGAAGGGAGTAACCCTTCATTCTATCCTTTTTTGTAGTATTGGTGCATCATCCTGAACAGATATTTCAATTTCTGCATCCCCCAATTGCACGACAGGTTTATATTGGTGACCCAATAGTTCCCTGTTTTCCTTTCCCTGGCTTTTTTTATTTCGGTGCGACTTTGAGTATGTGCCAAACCGGATTCTTATGCCTGCTGAGACTGATATTTGGGGTTGGGTTGCTAAATGAGAAAGTTTTCGAAGTCTAAAATGGTGATTGTAATTTTAGGCTCTCTGTTTACTAGTAATAGGAACAGCACAGTTTTATTCACATGAAAACTTTATTGTTTGGTTCACCATGAACTGAGTTTGATATATAGTAGGACGTAAATCGTCTGAGCTCTTCTAGTTATCCATTACACTTTTTGTTCAAGTTTTCTTCCTTTTTGCTTCTTTGCAATTGGAAGGTGGGGTAGTTCAACATGGCCTTTTGAACCCCACCCAATTCTTCGACTCCGTTAGTGCTCAAACATCTATAATATATGTTCGATGAGGTAGTGCAGCCTGGCCCAGGTAATATTAGAATAGAGTGTGTCTTGGCTTTATGTTTGACAGTTAGTCCACTCACGACAATTATTATTATTACCATTTTAGAGTATATTTTGCCCGTGTTCATAAATAGTTGCTAAAAGTTTAACTTTTTATCCACATATCTCGTGAAACCCACAAGTACTATCCATTTATCTATCACTTGTTTATACTTGCCAAACATATGCTTAGTTTTCAATATAGACTTGTTAGTCCAAACTGCGAAATAAATAATTTGAGTGCTTGCTGCTTATATAGTTCCGTTTGCATTATGAAGTCGAGTCTCTCAAAAGGAATCACTTTTGTTCAAGCAATTAGTCAATGTAATTTGATATTCTCTAATTTACCTGTTGATTTTGTGTATATGTAGGAATAGTTATGATACCCGACCCAGCCAAAGTACCTTATCTATAGTTGTTATGTGTTTCAAATAATCTGTGTCGTGTGCCTCTAACACATGCTATCCAAAAATCATATAACTCGAATAGTGCAGGTGGCAGCCAATGAAGCAATGTATTTGCACGTATTAATTATTTGAATGTGTCTTGTCTTAATTCTTTATGTTTTAAACGAAACATTCCTGATGCATTTTATCATCATCACTCGTGTATTATGGTATGAATTTCCTTCTCTTTTGCGTCTACATTGAGCAATTCTTTGCAAAATCACGAAGGCACTCTCAAATTTAAAAGCTGTCTGTGATTGTAGTATAACACTTTTCTATAAATGTTCCACAAATTCTCATCAAGATGTGTCAGCTTGTGTTTGAACTAGATAGATGTCTTAAGTCAACGCGTTTGTGTGATTAAAAAGATGACAACTACTGAAAGGAAAAGAATTAAAAAGTACTTAAAATGGCGTGAAATAGATTTGGTCGGCGTTTAAACAATAAACGTGAAATTAACACTTTCTGAGCTGCCTTACCCCTTTTGAAATGTCTTTAGTTCATCCTCCAAAGAAAATGACTTTACACTTTATTTAATTCTAAGCATTGACATTAGTTTCTGGTGATTTGATTAAGAGTAATGCTGTGATCCTGTTTTGCCCATTTTTTAAAAATCAATTTTCATTTTTAACCACGTATTTTATGTAACTACACATTTTATCAAAATTTACGAGAAAAATGAATTTTTTTTTGTTAAATCAAATCGGACTATATGTAATTAAACGTGACCACAAATAGTAGGATGAATTATCAGGTTCAATAGAATGGTCTGACAGGCAAAATCATGCGTAGCAGACCAAAGGCATTGAAATAGTAAGAACTTGGTGACTACGAATGATGCCATGCAAGCAATATTAGATAATAATTATTATTTTTTATTAATAACTTTATTTCTTTTCTTTTTTTGCTCTTTTGGTAGGTGGAAAGCACAGAGCAGCAGTAGTATTGAAATTTGGAATATGCTATTTTGTGCTTCATAAAATATTGGAATATTCTGATGGCAAGTGATATAGGTCTCTATTTGAGCATCATAACAAAACCAGTTTCGCTTGTGCACAGTAACGGAGTCCAAACATATATTTTCAGAGATCAAAAATAGTCTGTTTGACATTTTCCACCTCAATTGTATAAGAATTGTTACCGTTTATGGGCCTCACTAACGACTTTTTTTTACTTTAACAACGGCTATATTTTTTTTAATAATGAGCGGAAAATGACGCCCAAACACCCTCTTAATTACAAAGCTTTTATGCAACAAAATAATATAGAATATGAATTATAATGAAAAATTAAACAATAAGAAAATCTGTGCGAGCCTCTGTCACTATTTGAACCCATATGGTTCTATCACAACTTGTGGCAATGTTGTCGTTTCTTTTCATCTAGGCGGGCTATAGGAGTTTTTATTTTTCAAAAGGGAAGGGTAATTTTCCGAAGGGAAGGGTTTTATTGGTACTTTTCTTTTGAAAAAAATTGACTATATGTGTTCACTTAACGGACCATTTGGATGGAAATGGACGAAAATGACGTTGTGAGAAATCAAATGTTTAATTAAAGGGTAAAAATGTTGAAAATTGAAAAGATAAGAACGTTTGGATAATAATAGTGAAAAGTAGAGACGTCATGTGCTAATCCCTAAAATTACTAAGGGTCCGTTCGGTAGGAATTTTCAAAGTTCAAAGATTGCTCCTAAAATTAAAAAATAACTTTTAAATATGTTTTTATAATTTTTTGAAAATTATTTATTTGTCTAGAAGAGTCTTCGGAGAAAATAACCTATGATGGGTTTCTCAGCACTGCAAAAGTGATTGTAACAATACTGGCTAATTAATGGTAATGTTGTATGGAGGAGAATATTGTATACTCACCAAGCAACGCTTTTGTCATAATTGTTACTACAAGAAGACTGACTTCAAAGTTTCATTGAACAATATTGATACATGCTCACGAGTCAAATTAAATTGAATTTGACAATGTCAATTTAAATTTTCAAAAAAAGGACTTTGAAAAATAAAAGAAGAAGATTGTTCTTAATAGCACACTCAACTAATCTAGGTATTCATATTTCTCGAAATTAGCGTTTAGTACTTTCAGCTAGGTTTCGACATGGTCGAGGTTGGAGCACCGAGAATAGTTATTTTCTGGTTGCCCAATCAACCCAAATCGTGTGGATCAACTGTTGTAATTAGCCTAGACCTTCTACAAATACCTGATCCATCTTCCTTCTCTACTGTCTTCTAGTTACATCCTTTGGCCCCCATTAAATTACATTTCATTACATTCTATTTTTCTATTTTCTATTTTCAACCACACAATCTTTCATAAAATAATATTATACGTAAATCGAAAACTTTTATTTCTTTTTCAACCTCTTATTTTAAAAAAAAACTATTTCACCCCATTTTCTAACAAAAACGGGGGCCAAACGGGGCTTAATTGCTAGCTCTCTCTCTCTCTCTTTCTCAATCTAAAGCCAATCTCTTTGCTAAATGGCAACTATTACGTCCATCAAGGCCCGTCAGATCTTTGACAGCCTTGGCAATCCTACGGTCGAGGTTTGTTTTCATTCATATTATCTCCCTCTCATCACTCAATTCCATTTCTTTCCTGTTAATTTTAATTATTTCCGTCAATCTTACTATTTGAATACTCTCCCATTTGCCTCGCCTGTATCTTGATTTTATTCAATTTTTTTATTTTTACAATAATGATTATTGCACTAATAATTTGGCTTAATCGTGTTCTGATTATGAGCAATGAAAGTAGTTTTTCTACAATGTTTGATTGGTTGATTTTTTTAAGTGTAGGTTGATGTGCATCTATCAAATAAGCTCTGGACCAGAGCTGCTGTTCCTAGTGGTGCATCCACTGGTAAGATCTATTGACGTACTTTTATTGTTTTTCATTCTTTATCCTTTTGTGGTGTTGATTTGTTAATATGATATAGAGGTATTAAAGTAGATGATATATAAATAGATTTGCTAAATATTGCTTTATTTCCTTGGTTCTTAGCCGAACACTTCCATTATTGATTAAGCTTTCAGTTCGGTAAGATTCTTTCGTTCCAATGTGTTAGATTCTTGTTTTTTACACTCTCATCTCTTTCATTTCCTTTTCACTTAAAATATACAGTTTTAGCTTTGCATATCCCAATGATCCCTTGTATCTTTTGAATATAAGGACGGAACTAATTTATTTTTGTACTTTAGTAATTTATGAAGCTCTTGAATTGAGAGATGGAGGGTCAGATTACCTCGAGAAGGGTGTCCGAAGGTACAAGTTTTTAATGGCTAACTGATTAGTTTTTCTAAAGCAAATATTTTTATTTACTGATGTTTGCATACTGTTGGTATGTATATAGGCCATTAGCAATGTTAACACCATCATTGGCCCTATTCTCATTGGCAGGGTTTGTTTTCCTCAGCTATAGCATGGTTATTGTTGCCGTAATATAGGCCATTAGCAATATTAGCACCATCATTGGCCCTGTTCACATTGGTAGGGTTTGTTTTCCTCAGCTATAGCATGGTTATTGTTGTTGTAACTTTGGTTGTTTTTGGCATTTTAGGCCTATGTTATGTAACAAAAGAAACATTGTTTTCTTTAAAATACTTGTTCTTTACATCAACTTCCCCAATTGAAAAATGATGTATGCTGCTTTAATAGGATCCAACAGATCAGACTAGTATATATAACTTCATGGTTCAACAACTTGATGGAACTCAGAATGAGTGGGGGTGGTGTAAACAGAAGGTACTTTATTGTTTTAATAGTTAACTTCTGCATATCTTTGTTATATTTGTATGTGTTAATATTTTGGCCTTTTCAGCTTGGTGCAAATGCCATCCTGGCTGTATCTCTTGCCGTGTGCAAAGTTGGAGCTGCTGTTCTTAATATTTCCCCGTACAAGGTATGTTGCAGATCATTCTACCGTAGCCAACCTTTTTTCTACTAATAAGACGATTTGGACCCAAATTTTTACCTTTGGAATTATTATACATGTATGGTAAAAGAATACTTTTATAAACGATGAAAAACATAATATTTTGTGAACATGTGAGGATTAAAATTAATTTTAAAAATATACAATAAATATCATTAAAATCTTTAACTATTTAACTTATTCTTCATTTTTTAACCACGCAAGCACAATCCATTTCCGATCACCTTGAACTGCCCTTTTAGTTACCTACAAAATATTTAACATATAGTGTGAGACATAAATCTCAATAAATGAGTAATAATGAATTTTTATCTCATATTTAATCAAGGAAAAATCATACCATACATATGGAGACATGGGAATTAAAATCCAAACTTCGTGGCTATAATTCCTGTGCGTAGCGCTACTAAACTCCGGTCCTTTGAATTTACACATATAGTACCCTTATCATAGTCATAACATAGATTTTCGTATCATCATATTCATAACATAAATTTCCTTGATTTAAATAATCGCACTGCTACACTTGCTTTTTTACTTGACAATTCAATGATAGAAGAAGTGATTGTTGGAGTGAGATCCTTCAGCCGGATGAGGGATTGTGTGATTGTGTAAGAGTATGACTATATTTAATATGAAAATGACAAGAGAAAAAGTAAAAGTGTAAAGAGAAAATGATAGAAATAGAAGGGAAGAGTGTAAATAGTTGGTCATTGGTAGTCCAATATGGAGTTTATCTTCTAGTTATAATGCAAATTCTTGGACCATATGTAGAAAATTGAAAGGAAATGGCGAGATGTTAGGCATGGTCAATGCATAATTGGTACATTGTCTTGGAAGTTATCAAATCAATACCTTTATTCATGCGATCAAATCAATTGATTTGGCTTGAAACTTGGTGTAAATAATGCAAGTGGTCAAATCAATTACCTTTATTTATGTGATCAAATCAATTACATTGCTTAAATGTTGTGAATAATGCACGTGATCAAAAGTCATACTTAATCATGGCAAATTGCCATATTTACATATATTTTACACATGATTTCATCTAACTTCCAAATTAACTCTTCATTTAGGTCCTCAAACTATTGGCTAATAATCAATAAGGTCATTTAACTAGGTCAATAACTTATAAGATCATTAGACTTTAATAATAGCTCACATTAAGACCTAATTTTTAATCTAATGGCCAGTAATAAAAATTCGGGATATTATAGTCAGTCTGGATTACCCTATTAATGGCTCTCATAATTGGGAAAATACAGCTCTACATGGTGTCCACTACCTTGCACCTGATTCCCACTTGAATTGGTCAAAACAATGTAATAGGCCTTGTGCTAGAGTTTCTTAGATTTGCTATAGCCATCCATATTGTTTTCCATACATGCCATGTTGGTGGATCTATCATATGTAATTAATATGAATATTTCTTAGTACAGCACGTTCCTAACCTGGCTGGTAACAAGAAGCTGGTATTGCCTATTCCTGCCTTCAATGTCATCAATGGTGGATCACACGCTGGGAAAAACTTGCTATGTAGGTATGTTTTTCGATATTTACATGGGTTAGCTCATATATCTTAGAATTTGAGTTTCTCATCAATTTGTATTGTAGGAATTTATGATTCTACCTGTTGGAGCTTCGATAGGACCCTGAACTGATTCTAAAGCGTGGCTGAAAAGAAAAATAAAAATCTGGAATCAACTGCAATTTTATTGAATAAAGAAAATAGAACAGACTATCAGGAGCATTCGAGAGTCTCCGACTCTCCTACTAGACTCTTGATTTCTCCATGCTTCTCTACCCCCTTTTCCCTTTACATTTATTGACAATTTTCTAATTAACTCACTACCTCCCAACAACTAACGAAATAACAAATGACCTGCAACAAGAATTGATTTATGTTACTTAGTTGGCTTGGCATCTGACTTGGTTGCTTCTTCCTTCGTGTATATGTAATTATTGCTGGGGGCTTACCATCACTCACTCCCCTTAAATCCATCCTGTCCTCAAGGTGGAAGTTGGGAAATTGCTGGCGTATGCTCTCCACAGACTCCCATGTTGCTTCGAAGTCTGGCGAGTTCTTCCACTGGATCAGTACTTCAAGATCTGAACCTCCTGCTGAACTGGCACGCACCTGCAATATGGCCTCAGGTTCTATCATAGGCTGACTTTCCACGGCAAGATGTTCTAGAATATGGGAGATAGTTTGGATGATTCCTACTGCTTTCCTGAGCTGTGATATAAGAAAAATACGGTGAATGGCAGATTCTGGAGGAAGCTTCAATCTATAGGCCACCTATCCAACCCTAGCCTCGACTGCAAAAGGTCTATAGTATATGGGAGCGAGCTTTGCTGATGATCGACGAGCTACATATGTTTGACGGTAGGGGAGCAACTTCAAGTACTCCAAGTCCCCAACTTCTAGCTGGATGTCGCGGAGGTGGCCATCTGCCTGCTGTTTCATCCTTTGCTGGGCTTGTAACAGATACATCTTGAGATGTTGGAGTACTTCATCCCTGCTGATTAGCGACTGTTCAATAGACAATACTGCTGTCATTCCTTTTTCAAATGGTAGAACCGGTAGAAGATCACAACCACAATCAATCTAGAAGGGAATGTGCTTTGTCACTGTGTGAAATGAGGTGTTATACCAAAATTCCACCCATGGTAGCCACTGTCCCCAGGAGAGGGGTTTACTCGAGGCAAAGCAATGCAAGTAGGTTTCTAAGCACCTGTTGATGACCTCAGTTTGGCTATTCGTCTGGGGGTGATAAGATGTACTCCTCTTAAGCACGGTCCCTTGAGCCTGAAAAAATTCTTCCCAAAATTTACTCACGAAAATACGATCACTGTTCGACATAGATTGTGGAATGCCATGCAATTTGATAATCTCTCAAATGAAGACCTTAGCCACCATGGGAGTTGTAAATGGATGTTTTAGACCGATGAAGTGACTATGCTTACTGAGACGGTCAACCACTACCAGAATAGTGTCCCAACCTTGAGACCAGGCAGCCCTTCAATAAAATTGAGCGAAATATTAGCCCATACCTGTACCGAAATCGGTAGTGGTTGCAAGAGTCCCTGGAGAGACAAAGACATGTACTTGTTTTGCTGGCACACATTGCAACTGTCTACAAATGCCTTGACATCTTTTTTAATGCCCCTCCAATGGACATCCCATGCATTCCATTTGTAAGTTTTGAGGAAGCCTAAGTGGCCACCCACTCCAGTGTTATGATATTCCTGTAGCATCATTTCAATGAGTGGGAATGATTTAGGTGGAGCTAACTTGCCATTATAAAGCAGAACTCCTTCTACCATAGAGTAACCTATTTTTTCCTTCCATGCCTGAATACTTGCAATGATTTTACGTCCCTTGTTACTGCCAATCTGACCTCATCCATCTGCAACACTCAAGGGCTGAAAAATGCCAAAGAACTTACTGTAGGTTCCACCAGGGAAAAAAATCTCAGATTTATTCTCTAATATAGTTCGATACTGAATCTCAAAGTCGAAATTGAGAAGTTTAGTCATCCATTTCTAGTGCTTTTCACAAACCAAGTACTGTTCTAAGAGGAACTTCAGACTTGGCTGATCAATCCTTACTACAAAGTGTCTGCCAAGAAGATAATGCTGCCACTTTTGCATGGAAAACACAATGGCCATTAATTCGCGCTCATAAGTCGATTTGCGTCTAGCGCTAAGGGAAAGCATCTGATTTTAATAAGCGATTGGGTGCTGCCTTTGCATTAAAACTACCCCCAAACCCTATCCCGAGGCATCCATCCCTACGACGAATTCTTGCGAGAAGTCCGGTAGAGCGAGGATCGGGACTTCGATTATAACTTTCTTCATGTTGCAGAAAGCTTCCTCTGCTGCCTTACTCCATCTGAACCCATCCTTTTTTAACAGTTCGGTCAATGGCCAGGAGATCTTTGCATACCCCGTTACAAATCGACGAAAGTAGCCGGTGAGTCCGAAAAAACCTCATAGCTCGCGAAGATTCCTGAGCGTGGGCCAATTACACATTGCCTCAAATTTAGACTTATCTGTCGCCACTCCATTCCCTGATATAATATGGCCCAAATACTCCAGCTCCGATTGTCCAAATGTGTACTTCTCATTCGCGTATAACCTATGTTGTTGTAAACATATCAAGACAACCTCCAGGTGTGCTTGGTGGTCCTCAAGCGATTTACTATATATTAAAATGTCATCAAAGAAAACTAGCATAAATTTTCTGAGATAAAGTTGAAATACATCATTTATTGGCCCTTGGAAAGTTGTCGGTGCATTCGTCAATCCAAAGGGCATGAATAAAAATTTAGAGTGGCCCTAGTGAGTTCGAAAGGCAGTTTTCAGCACATCTTCCTGACTCATCCTTATCTGATGGTACCCTGATTTTAAGTTCAGTTTTGAGAAGATATTCTCCCCATGAAGCTCATCCAACAATTTGTCAATTACTGGTATAGGGAACCTATATGGAATTGTTACCTTGTTCAGGGCCCAATAATCCACGCAAAAATGCCAACTCCTGTCCCTTTTAACCAACAAAATAGGACTTGCAAATGGGCTACAGCTGGGTTGGATTATCCCTGCCTCTAGCATGTTTCGTACTAATTTCTCAATATCATTCTCTTGAACATACAGGTATCAGTATGGTCGGACATTCATCGATTTTGCCCCGATTTGGAGCACAATCGCATGATCGTGGGAATGCACTGGGGATAGCTCATTTGGCCAGTCAAAAACCCTGCAGTGACGTTGCAATAGCTCTGTCATCTCGTCAATGAGCTTAATTCCCTTTCCCTCGTCTTCTAGGCTCAAGCTCCTCAATTCCAGCATTACTCCTTGGTCTCCTTCTTTAAAGTTCCTGACCATCGATTTTATTGAGACCTGAGTCTTTTGTAAACTAGAGTCCCCTTGCAACAGACCGATTCTCCTTCAACATTAAATCTCATCGTCAACCTTCCCCAATCAACCTGTGTTTGACCCAGGGTACCTAACCACTTCATTCCCAAAATCAGGTCAGTATAACCCAACATAAGAGGGAGAAAATCATCCACCACCTCGATGCTCAGCAACTCCACAACTAGCTCTTTACATATTCCCCCTCCTTTGACCGTAGTACCTGTTCATTGTGACTCCGTAACTGTTGGTTCCCGTTACTAGAATGTTCAGCTTCTTCACCAATTCCAAGGATATGAAGTTGTGGGTTGCCCCACAATCAATGAGCACCACAACTGCTTGACCCAGTAGAAATTCGGTTACCTTCATCGTCCTTGGGGTGGAGAGTTCAACCACCGAGTTGATGGATAGCTCCACTACTTCATGCACCTCATTTTTCCCCACTTTAGCCCCTAATTCGATCGTCTCCTCCTCCCTTTCCTCCTCTTGAACTACAAGTACCTGCAACTTCTTTAGGCGACATTTGTGACCCGATTGGTACTTCTCATTGCATTTATAGCATAATCCTTTCTCCCTTTTTTACTGGAGTTCTGCATCGGTCAATCTCTGGTACGACGTCCCCCCTTTTTCGACTGATGGACAACGGGGGTTGGGCGTTGATGGCTTCGAAGGAGCTGCTGGAAGTCACTGAAGTGAAGTCGTGCTGTGGGTCTGAGAGTTCTAGGAGTAATTAAATGGGCTATAGGTGAAGCTATTTGTCTAGCCCGTGGTTTTAGTTGGGCCGTAATGAAGTTGGGCCTAGTCAATGGCAGCATTTCTATCCTCGACTCGCTGGGCCATCACCATGGCATAGGCCAATTCGCATGGCTTCATCATCCTCAATCTAGCTCGTATAATGTGTGTTAATCCATTGACAAAATTACATTCCAGCATTTCCTCAGGGATCAATGGCAAGGGGGCGGCCAACGCTTCAAATTGTCGTCGGTAATCCTGTACAGAGCCTTCTTGTCTTAGCCCCAGCAGCTTCTCCAACTAAGTTCCTTCTTGTGAGGGACGAAATCGCTCCAAGACCAAGGCCTTAAGGTCCTCCCACCGGGGCATGGGTTATCGACTGCCTTCCCATTGGAACCAAGCTAATGCTTCTCCCTTAAATCAAATTGCCGCCACCTCTAATTTCTCCCAATTCGACAATGGAAATCATATTAAAATATCGTTCTGATCTGAAAATCCAGCCATCTAGATTCTCACCAACGAAAATAGGCATTTCCAGCCTCCTGCTCCGGTGTTCCGCCCTCACATTGCCCTCATGGAGTTTCTTTCTCTCCTGGCTGCCACTAGCTTCTTCGGACATGGTGGAAACCTTAGGGTTACTCGTCGAATCTGAGGTTGGTTCGTGGGGGTTCTTTTTCTTCCTTTTTCTTTCTGCTTTGGCCCACTACCCCATCATCACGTCAATTTTTTCCAAAAGTGAGGTCATATCCTTCGCATACCCTCTATCTTTCCTTCAAACGATTCCACCCGATCCAATAGCATCATTTTCACCATGCCAGATGTTCTGATACCAAGTTGATGGGACCCTGAATTGATTCTAAAGTGTGGCTGAAAAGAAAGATAAAAATCTAGAATCAACTGCAATTTTATTGGGTAAAGAAAACAGAACAGACTATCGGGAGCATTCGAGAGGCTCCAATTCTCCTACTAGACTCTTGATTTCTCCATGCTTCTCTACCCCCTTCCCCTTTACATTTATTGACAATTTTCTAACTAAGTCACTACCCTCCCCCAACAACTAACAAAATAATAAAACGGCATGCAACAAGAATTTATTTCTGTTACGTAGCTGACTTGGCATCTGACTTGGTTACTTCTTCCTTCGTGTATAAGTAAATATTACTAGGGGCTTATCAAGCTTCCTCTTTTAAAGAGGCCATGAAGATGGGTGTGGAGGTGTATCACAATCTGAAGGTGCCTGATAATGTTTCAGTTCTCTCTTCCTTCATTTACCTGTCTATCAATTTCTAATCAATGGTCATATCTATTTTGAATTTAATGTAATAGAAAACTCTAGCCTGCATATATCTATGATCAAAATGCACAATTTAGGGAATATGCTATATTTTGAAGATGTAAAGAATTCTGCAATTGCTTTGTTGCGATTTTATACCTCCATTTCAATGAAGCTATATGAGTATCTACTTCCTGGTTATCTGGTATGTGGTTAGTACAAAAATAAGTTATTTCTAGGGAGCACATTATAATTTGAGGATCTCGAAAAATTCTACAATATTTATTTTGGTTTGCATTTTTATACCTCTGTACAAATATAAAATTTCAATGTTCCTAGATTATTAGGTCCGAAGCCAGTGTTGAATTGAGTTTTACATCAATCGTATTTTTGTATCCATACGAAATGCAAATTGAATCTTGCTTGGCCTATTGCTGATCTTGGAATTGATGTTCCCAATTTATGCTTTTCTATTATGTTTATAAGCTTAGGGATCGAAGAGTTTTTCTTATATCTGTGACATCTGACTATTAGGAATGGGTTTTCTTTGATTTCAGGGTGTCCCATTTTGCTGTTTTATATGTCTATATGCTTAGGGTCAAAAAGTTTCTTTCGCATGTGTGATGTCTGGCTTTTAGAAATTGGTTTTCTTTTATTTCTGGCGGTTCTAAATTGCAGTTTTTATACATCTAAAAGTTCAGTGTCGATGAGTTTCTGTTGCAAATATGAATTTTTGATTTTTAGGAATTGGTTTTCTGATTTCGGACTGTCATTAAAAAGAAATATGGTCAAGATGCCATCAATGTAGGGGATGAGGGTGGCTTTGTTCCTAACATTCAGGTCAATCGGTGTGTTATGTTTGAATAAACCTTTTGCTTGAGGTTTATAATATTCAAAGTGAATCTTTTATGTACTGTAGGAGAACAAGGAGGGTCTTGAACTGCTCAAGACAGCCATTGATAAAGCAGGTTCCACAGGAAAACTTTTTCTAAACTTCCTTGACTTTATTGTTTAATCACCTGGTGAATGGGTTAGAACTTAAGTTTCATTATGTACAGGTTGTCATTGGAATGGATGTTGCTGCATCTGAGTTTTATGGATCAGAAAAGACTTACGATTTGAACTTCAAAGAAGAGGTAAGTTCTTAAATTGCTTAGCTCCATTTGATTGCATTCTTGAATAATATGTTGTATCCGAGGATGTCAAGAATGCATGTGGCGGTTATCTCCATGCTCTGTAGCACAGACACTTCATAGGATAACGTGTCCGTGTCCAACACGTATTGGATGTGTGTCGGACACCGACACTCATCGAAAACTCCACCATGCTTATTTTTCTTTTTTAATAATATTATACATTTTTACCTAAAAGTTATTAGTAAATAACAATAGTTAGTCATATTTGAAAGATTTCAACAAAAAAAATTAATGACAAGTGTAAAACTAAAATTTACAATACAAATGAAGAGTTTTAAAGAATTTAATCAACGTATCGGTGACATCTCGTGTCGGTACATTTTGAATGATACTTTTTGAAAATCAAGTGTCAATGTATCCGACACGTATCATGTCAGACATACGTGTCTGTGTCCGTACATCATAGTCTCCCTGTGTGCATAATAGTTCATTCCTAACTGCTAAGATTTTATTTGACATTTCAATTTTATTACTTTGTCTTTGCAAAACAATAATGGCTCACAAAAGATCTCACGTGACCAGCTCAAAGATCTGTACAAGCCATTCATATTCGGGTACCCAATTGTATCCATTGAAGATCCATTTGACCAAGATGACTGGGAGCATTATGCCAAGCTTACTGGTGAAATTGGTGCTGAAGTACAGATTGTCGGAGATGACCTTTTGGTCACCAATCCCAAGGTGATGGGTCCAATACCTTAAAAATGATCAGAAAACATTATTTCGCTGGCTAATAAAATTTAGCATATCTTACTATGCTATCTTACTGCTAATTTTTGTGTGCAGAGAGTCAAAAAGGCAATCAAGGAAAAGACCTGCAATGCTCTTCCTCTTAAGGTATCATGAAATATCTATTTGATCTTAAGTGCTTGAATGGTCTCTCTTGAATTTTTTGAAAATGTAACAACGGCGTGTTTAACAATTTCAATTAACTAACAGGTTAACCAAATTGGATCGGTTACTGAGAGTATTGAAGCTGTAAAAATGTCTAAACGAGCTGGTTGGGGAGTAATGGCAAGCCATCACAGGTATGAAAATTATACCTTGTTATATGGTGGGTATCTAGGGTGAAAGGGAATATTAGATTTGACAATCATTTTTGTTACTGGATGCAGTGGAGAGACAGAGGACACTTTCATTGCTGATCTCTCTGTGGGTTTGGCTACAGTAATCTTCTGTCAGATTCTACTAGAATTATGTTTTCCTTAGTGGTCTAAAATGCTGACTTTTTTCTGTGAAAAAATTTATCAGGGCCAAATTAAGACTGGAGCTCCATGCAGGTCAGAACGTCTTGCAAAATACAACCAGGTAACTTTTTCATGTTTTTAAATTCATTAATTGCGGGTTCATATTGGACTGGTTTGCACTAGAGTTGATGATAAAAAGAAGTTAAATTGTGTCTATTATCTTGTACAATTTTAATGCCGACTTGATCCCGTGAAAAACATTCCTATCTGTTCCAACAACAATTAATAGGACATTTTCCTAGTCAAATTCTGATTGTCCATGGTCATCCCTCTCGTTCTTTCCTTATATGTAACTATGAAGTATTGCACGATATTATCTAGGTATTTGATGGTCATTTGTTGCGTACAACTCTTGCGAATTGAAGAGGAACTTGGGTCTGAAGCTGTATATGCGGAGGCCAAGTTTCGTGTACCTGTCGAGCCCTATTAGATCCAAATAAGTCGTGAGCTGATGATGCGTGTTTGCAAGATGAATTCTTACTTTTAGCAGAATAAATAAATCTCGATGTAGGGTGATCCCAAGATACATGAGACGTGTTTTTCGGTAATCAAAATAGCTTTCTTCCGAACTCAGAAACAATTGAAATGACTGATTATGTCATCTCATTTTATACTTGTTTTGTAACTAGGAAAATGCAGTTTTTAATAGAAATCTATCTGGTTATTTGCGAACTTATTTTTGTTGATGACATGAATGTTTTGTTGCTGGCATCTGCCACTTGTGATCATATGAATGTTTGGTAACCATTTTAAAAACCCTCATAATAAGATTTAAGGAAAATAATAAAGAGAGAATCCCCCATCATAAAATTAATCAAGGGTACAGGGATGTCTGAATAGGTTTTGATTTATAAGCATTTTCCCTCAATAGCTCTAATAATACTTTCAATTGATCAATTGCAATTCGGTTTATCTTCAATCTTTATCCCTTGGTCCGAGTTAACTTTTAAATATTTGTAATTAGTCTCTGAACTTTGGAATTTTTCAATTCTTTTTTTTTCCCGCCACTGTTTGGCCAATTTTCACTTCTTTTCTTCTAACATCACTTCAAATAATTAAGTTTTGCCCAACAAATATATACGAGAGATTCAGAGCCCGTTTGAACCACATTCTTTGTAGAATGAGAATGAAAAACAGAGCTGTTATGGGCTCCACACCAAAAATAGAAATTAAAAAATGGTGACTTGATTCGATGGATAACGATTATATTTTTCATTTTAATGAGGTAAAAATGGGGCTCAAATAGGGCCTAAGATATAATTCATCATAAGTAATCTCAAATATACATATTTAACAACTTAGATAATTTATCATAAGTAAAGGTTTGAAAAGAGAGCAAGTTGAAGATTCATCAAGGAAGATGGGTTAAAATCGATAACGTAACCAAGAGTTTTCATATTCCCAACCTAACTAACTGGAGATCTAAAAATCTAGATTCAATGGGACAATCAAACTGTGAAAAATCCATACGCACTAGGGAGGGTCATTACTACTACCCATTTCTATGATGAGACAATGCCTAACTGATGTGAGAAAAAAGTTAAGCTTGTAATGCTCTCTATATTTTGATTTGTTCAACTAGATTACAATAGAATGCTCTTTATGGTGATCACATATATGGGTAAGAATGGGTTGCTTCTATGAGAATTATGTAAAGATGAATTCTTTGAAAATACTAATAAACCCGGGGGTGTCCAAGGTCAAAATTGACACAAACGTTAGAACTGAGGTGTTTGAATGGAATTGTGGGACTTCTATTGTATAGTTTTACACGAACGACTAAATAATTTCTAACGGTCCTTCGGTTAGCTCTTTTCTTCGTAATTTTCTGGATGTGACTGTTGGGGAACGTCTGTGATTGATGTTTAGTTTTCCATAATAGACATCTATGGCCGACGTAACCAACTACGATTAATAGACTGTAACAGACGCATGGTTTTGGTCTAAACATATATCTCTATTCGTTTTGAAAAGTTGTCACCACCGTTCTAAAGAGTGTTTTTTAGACTGTTTGAATGATTACAAATAAATCTATAAATAGCCTGCATTTCTGTAAAAAATATTACACCATTTTTCATTGCAAATATTCCCACTTTGCAATTAAGAGAGCCATTTTTTTCAACACTAGGTGAGACAATGAAGAGAGGGCAAGCAAACTCTACATGCAAAGAGCAATGTTTGGCAAAAATGTTGCCGTCATTGAAGAAAAGGAAAAGAAGTGAAAGCATGTCAGAGAAGAATAAGTCATGTGACTCTTCTAGGTGAGAAGAAGAGGAGTATCAAACAAAACAGGATGGTCCTTGAGAAGAATACGTAGCTCATTTTTCTTAGTTTCTTTGTCTTTTCCAGCAAGTTGGAAGACTATTGTTATACAACTAATGTCCATACAAACTATAAGATAGTGGTGAATTCAATGAGAAAGACTTTGATTTGAACCACTTGATTAAAACATATAATCGGTGCTCCACTACAATATTTTACAAAGAATCTTGAGATAAAACAAGATCAACATGGTGAAGTGATTTTTTTTTGACACATTATCGTGGATTGGACGATCTTTCTGAAAATTAATCCTTTCCTACTGAATCAGGCGTAAAAGAAAATTGACAAGTTCATGATAAATATAGTTAATTCACGGATAACAACTTTAGGCCTTGTTTGGCCCCCATTATTTGAATTTATAATGGGGGGAATAGTATTTTTTTGAAGATTGTGTGGTTAAAAATTTTTTGATTTGAGTATAATATTATTTTATTGAAGATTGTGTGGTAGAAAGTAGGAGAAAGAAAAAATTAAATTAAATTGAAGAGTTTTAAAGGGGACCAAACGGGGCTTCATTTGAAAAGCCTAAATAATATATGAAATAGCTGTGGAAAACGCGTATTCCATGCTAAAAGAACAATTTTGTGGAAATTTTTTGATCAAAAAATGAATTATGTGGAAGTCAAGACTTTCCAAGCAAATATCTACAAGAAACTTACTTTTACAATTAATGCTAGAAATAGTGTTGCTTAAATGGTGAAGAATATATACCCACAATTTAGTTAACGTAACATTTAGTTCTGAAAATGATTGCCGACAAAAAGATTCATCAACAACCCCATTTCTTCGTTATTGCATTTTTACTTGTAAACTCGAGAGCCCCATATTTTAAACCAGGGGATCAACTCAGGATCAAACCAGAGGTTAAACAAATCAAATAAATAAATTTCTTTTCAAAAAAGTGTAGCAGTAAAATTGAGGTAAGGATCAATGCAATGTCCCCCAACGTATAAAAAAATGTATTAGTAAAATTGAGGTAAGGGTCAATGCAAAACCCTCAGGCCACCAACATATCAGAGCAAGGATGTTAAGCTTATTCAAAAATTTATTTTTGAATAGGTTGAATAGGTTTCCAAAAAAAAAAAAAAAAGGGAGGGGGTCTCTATTTAAATTTTAATTTTTTTCTAGTAGAATTCCTGATGTGGTAGATAGCAATCTAATGTGGAGCAATTATGCATTATACATTCTGTTAGAATACTTAATGCAATTTAATTGAGTGGTCAAACTTAATAACTATTTCAAAACAAAAATAAAGTTTGATGACCAACATGAAATTTTGTATAAGTTGAGTGACGAACAATGTTTTATAACTAGTTATGTTAGTGTCTACAAGAAATTTGGTTTTTCACTTGACCCATTTTTTGTTCAAATTTGCTTCGTAACTCAAAAACTCCAATTTCAATATATAAACCTCTACTCTTGCAATGTACCATGTTTTTTTTTTTT